TTTCCCCCAAGAAAACTGAAAGATCCAGGAGATTTAGGATCAACGAAGTAAACAACCCCTTCTAAAACACGAAACCTCTCTTCGCTGACTTCGCCCTCCGACATTGTAGTTAGGTCGTGGAAATGAAATAAAGATTCCTGATGGTTGGTGTCAAAGGTCGCGTCAGCTTATTTTTGGATCTGATATCATACACTACGCAACGGGTCATACGAAACCCCTTTGTTTGTTGTCACGCAAGATGAAGAAAACCGACTTCGTAGCCCTTTGTAGGATCTACGTAAGTAGCCGTTCACGGAAAAAGGGTCGTTTTCGTGTTTGTTATCACGGATATCGGAAAATTATTTCTCTTTTTCACGTATCACGACAATCATGTCATTCACGGTTCACGAATTTTATTTTTTCTAGATTACGGATCACAGAAAATAAATTCGGTCGATCACGTTTCACGCGAAACCCCCTTACGGCCCCTCTGACAATATAGATGGCACTGCAGCTTTTCTCACGTCATCTATATTTTTTTGTTTATTTTAGGGGTGAAGAATTTAGAACAGATTTTAAGGACCTGTGCTTTAAAGGCCCTTTTCCCCACTGTACCAATCATGGCCCTTACTGCAACTGCACCACCACATTTGCTCACAAATTTAAAACAGAGTTTGTCATTGCAAAAAGGTTGTAAAGTTGTTGCTGCAAACCCAAACCGTTCAAACATTTATTATGACAAGAAGATGAGGATGAGTAACCACCACGGGTATGAAAGCTATGACCGGATTGTCATCCCAATTGCAAAAGAATTGGCTCTGCAGAGGGAAAAGTATCCTATGACCATCATTTACTTGAAACTCAAGTACTGTGGTTATGTGTATGGCTTGTTTGAACAAATCTTACAAGATAAACAATTTGTGGGCGACACAAAAGATCCAGCTGCGAGGCTGTTTGCTCAGTTCCATGCCCCTCAAACAAAACGAATGAAAAAGAGCCTTATCGCAGAAGTAAAAAAGGAAAATTCAAGGGTAAGGGTGTTATTTGCAACATCAGCGCTTGGAATGGGAGTTAATATACCTCATGTGGAACATGTTGTACACATCACACCACCGAGCAACATTGAGTCTTACATGCAGGAGACTGGACGTGCTGGCAGGACGGGAGTCCCATCTAAAGCCACGCTTTATTACAATAACTCTGACATTGCCAAAAACAAGGAGCATGTTCAAGATCCAATGAAGGAATACTGCAAATCCCAAACTACTTGTCTTCGCAAACTCATTTTGGAGTATTTGGGGTTTCCAGGGGTTACTCAGGAGAGATGTTGCTGTGTTTGCGATGCAACATGTACTAATGTTGTGAACAAATTACCCAGTAGAGTTAAACGTAAAGTGAGAGCCATGCCAAATGAAAATAAAGCTGTACTTGAAGAACTTATTTCCAGTGAGCTGAATGAGTTTGAGGCTCATACAAGTGTGCCTGGTTAGAATTTTTCCATGCTCTTCAGTTTCTCCCATTAAAAGAATGTTCTTCCAAAGATCATGGAAGGAATTGACTACATTGAGACAGAATCAGACCTTCTTGATGATTACAAAATATGGAATGAGACCTGTTCATCAAAGATTTTTTCCTTCATAAGCAAATATGCTCCACTAATTGAAGATAATACCTGTGACACTTATAATGACTGAGCTTCTCACTTCCTTGAAACTATTAACCTTTTTATGATGTATGTTTTTCTTTACATGTCCTTGTTGGCTAAAATGTTACTGAAGATTGAATGATCCTGCAAGTTTATTTGGCCAAAATCAGTTAATTTAATTAGTTACTGGCACATTATTTCTTTTACATCTGACCTAGTTTGCTACTTGATTCTAGGCTGTGCTCTAAGAAAAAATAAAGGGAGTAACAGCTCTAGATAACTTATGTAATACAGGGCTACTAGCATCAAGTTTTGTTGAGAAACTAAGATTTCATTGTTGCTCCTTATTTCCCATTGAGACATTTCCGTCTCTTTTACTGTCCAGGAATGCAATAATGTTACAACACCTTTATTATCCAATTTCTGCTCTGTTGTCTGTCAAATGGTCGCTTACGAGAGGTTAAAAACTTTTAGCTCTAAAAGTGGTCGCGGTCGCTTACGAGAAGTGGTCGCTTACAAGAGGTTCCAAATATAGTTATTTGACTTGGAAATGTGTGGTATTTTGGAAAACTGGTCGCTGAGGAGAGGTGGTTGCTTACGAGTGGTGGTCGCAACCGGAGGTTCGACTGTATTCTGCACACAGCTGGTATACATCTCTCATGAAAGTTATAATAATAATAATAATAATAATAATAATAATTATTATTATTATTATTATTATAATTTCTGAATCAATACAAATTATTTTCTAATGACCAGTGATAATAGGAAAGGTTGTTACCCAATATCCTGAGCTAGAGGCTCATCGTCAAATAAACTGAAGTTATATCATACATGTAATAAAAAAGTTAATTTATTTTTTGGCTTCAGAAACCAGCTAAGTTCAACTATTGACCTATGTGATTTCTTATTAACTGCGAATCTTGCAGATCATAGTTTCTGATTTAAAATACAAGTGATACTAAAAACATGTTATTTAAAAACCATTGTAAGAGCTCTGCTGTACATTTTGACCTCCAACTGTTAGGCTGTGTATGCTGTAAAATACCGTAAGATTATTTTTGATACATTAAATTGTAATAAATTTTTACTTGTAAGCATTTTTTGCAGATGATACTTAAAGTCAGAGAAAATAACCTGTTCCCCTCTTCTATCACCTTTACTGCGCAGAAATTCAAACATGCCCACAGTTTTTGGTAAAAAAAATGCAAGCGGTTATGAGCAACTGTATGTGAAGAACCACAATGATAAACCAGTTGCAAATTCCTATTCTTTTTTGGCTGTAGTTGATTGCATGAGAGATGCTTAAGGCATCAACCTGGTAAAAATTTATCATTTCTGATCACTGCAAAATTTATCATAACTTACATGTAGAGAATACTCACCATATTCTCCACACCCAAATGTTTATATTTTATTGCCACTTCAGTGAGAAATGCTATTCTACACTGTAATTATTACCGGACTCAAAGTAGCACAACATAATCAGATCATTTTTTGGTAGAAAAAAACAGATGTTGATTAGCCAGAACCCTGGCTGCTTATAAACAGAGTGCAAAACAGTAATTAAACATATCCCTTAATAACTTGTTTGCTAGAGGCATGGTGGCCTCATCATTAGTACGCTTTACTCTGGATTGGGTGGTCTGGATTCGAGCCCCAGCCAGGGCCATTGTGTTATGTTATTGGAAAGACAATTCACTCTCACAGTACCTCTCTTTACCCTTGTGTATCAATAGGTACTGCAAGGCTGCAAATAACAGCCAGTCATTGGACATTTGTCTGGCAAAATTGAGGTTTTCACTGGCGAAAATTTAGTCTGGTCAGTCACTCTGACCGGGAACTTTTCATTGAAGTTGAACTTTTATCCTACTTAAAGAGCAAGGTCACAGAAGCTTGATTAGTGATAAAACTGTTACATCTCCTGTCTGTGATTAGTATTGTGCAGATTCTCAATCTTTCAATGGGATTTTTTTTTGTCCGACCAGACTGTTTCCTTGTCAGGTCAGGTCTGGTCTCTGACCTGACAAGTGACCTGCTTATAACAAAAATATTATTTGCAGCCTTGTGCTGGGGGTAACCCTGTAACGGACTAGCATCCCATCCAGGGGGGTGAGTATAGATATTTGCATTTTTTTCAGCCTACTGAAACCGAGGTAGACTCCAGCCTGGTGGGCCACTAGGCTTGTCTGCAGACTTTACCATAATAATTTGTAATTTCCACTGGCATAAAGTATTCATATATATTTTTAGTTTAACTACCACAGAAATTTGAACCACATTCTGACAATTAGCATGTTGCTACTTCCAGCCCTGTAAATATTTAATGAAAACTTGAAGTGCTAAGTGTTTCTGGGAACTTTTGAATTTAGTCTCTGTTCGAAAGTTCTTGTTTATGTTTGTCAAGCCACTGATGGAATTCAACAATGTTTAAGTACCTGAGGGGGCATCGTTTGATGTCAGCAAAGCTGTCATGGCATCTTTCAGGCACTCTTTGGAAAGGATCCAATTGTACAAGATCTTCAACCATCTTTTTTTCATCTTTTAGAGAATCCCGAGTGGTATGTTGAACAGAAGACTGATGAATATCAGCAGAAGTGTCAAATTGTTCCTTAACCTCTTTGATGCCATTCGTTCCCTTGCAGACTTTGCTGATGGACTGGAAAGTTTTGTTTGGCCCCATTCTCTGGACAACAGACTTGCTTAGTCGATTAACGATTTCCTGTGCCATGTCATCTTCCATGTTGTTTCCAGCGCCACCCCTCCAGCTGACAAAGAAACCCCATTTCTAACATGCGTGGGGTTAACATACATTCTATTTGAGCGATACTTACAAACATCTCAAGGGCATACTTGCTGTAAGCACCCATTGATTTAAAAACCGACAGCAGCAACTTCTGATTTATGAGGTTTCTTTCACCATCTGCCTCTGCTGCAGTGTCTTTCAGCTGTAAAATAAGGATGGTTAGGAAGATGTAGCACAGGGCATAATTTGAGACATAATCCTCCTCTTCCCCATTTGTAGTGGCATTTTTTTGGCAAAAGATACTCATCAATGAATTTTTCAAAAACACTGTCAAAATATCTTCTCTTGTCTTCCTCTGTTTGATGGGAAATGTTTGAAGGGAACTTGTTGTGGGAGGGAACATCCTCAAGACTTGTCATTCCAAAGAAAGTAAGAGCTGCAGTGACAATGTAAGCTCAACCAACACTGAGAAATAGTTCCTCACTTCCTTCAAATGAATCCAGTACTTTGGCTGGGGTGGCATTCCGGCGATTAAATTTTTCTCTAAAGTATTTTAGAGTTCCAATTTGGTTGACCGGTTCTGCCTTGTAGGGGAATGAATATGAGTACTGTAGCAATGATGCTTTTGTGTGCCACATGACTGGCTTGAATTGGGAACAATGCTCAAAACGATCTGATGGAGTGTGGGAGCCTGAGAGCAAATCTTTAGCACCAGCGAATCTAACCCTGGTCAACTGGTCACCAGCAAAAACTATCTTCATTTCCCTCATAGGATCATCAGGGGTATCCTCCTTGTGAGCGTTTGTTTGGCCAGGTGCAGCTGATCCCTCTGGTACTTCAGGGTTGTCAACATGAGGTACTTCATCAAGTAAGCCCGCTTTGACATAACTCTCTGAAATCCACTGCTCGTAAGATCTCAAAATGCGGACACAATCTTCATATTTAGCTTCATTGGCATTCAGAAGGGGCAGGCTCATGATGGTGGATTTTTGAGCCATTTCTCCACTGTAAATATGAGGAATATGTGCAGGGATGACTGACTTAAGCCACTTAAACTTTGGAAAGAATTCAATAATTATCCTTCCTGTGAGAATCTTTGCACAGTTTATGTACACTTTCCACTCATCAACATTTAATGAGAAAGGGTGGCGTGGAAAATTTACAATGTCCCCCTTAGGATGCACATTAGGCAAGTGTGAAAAGTTGACCCGGTTTTCAATAAGGTTGGATGCAAAGAAATGAAGATCTTCATTCTGCACATCCTTTCTCATATGGCCCTTTAGGACTTTCAAGTCCCAGTTATCTCCTGTGCCACGGAAAACAGAACCACCTTTTACTTTCTGAACAACTATGTCTGCAAAGTGCCCTCCAAGAAGTTTCAATAGGATATCCCGTCTTCCATGGGAGAGACAAACACCAAGCTTGTTCAGTCGCTCCTGAAGCTGGATTAAAAATGGTAAGAAAAAAAGTAAAATTAGAGTATTCTCCCCAAGTGGAGATTTAAAGCTAACATGAAACGATACATGTTTCTAACAAATGACTTGGAGTTTTGCCGTGGGAAATGTCATTACTTGTCTAAGTTTTGTATTTTACATTAGCCTGTGTCCCTTAAGTTAGTATGGGTTTCTCCCACACTACATGGTTTGACACTCAATAAAACTTTATTATTACAATTATTATTAGATTTTCTATATTTAGGTTTCCTTATTTAAATTGCATATCAAGAAATGGTGTCAAATATTATTATTATTATTATTATTATTATTATTATTGCTAATAATCACAGATAAAATCTGGTTTTCATTGGTTCCGGGCAACAACCAGTTGTCTGGGGAAACCAAAAAGCGTCCTTCATTTTACTTTCCTCTCCTACCTACATCTCCAGCACTTTCCTAAGTACAGATCTCTAAGGCTTACCAACTAAAGACCAAAGATACTTTGCATCAGGTACCAACACTCAAGCTTAGTTTTGAATGAGAAGATTGTGATCTTTACTTTTTCAATAAAGTAAATATTTACACAAATTTATACTGGAAGAATTCTAACAGGTTGACTGTTATTTATAATATTGATAGTTGATGCAGCCTACCAATGCTAAAAATGTTCATTATAAGCTTATGTGGATGGGACCCAGCTCTGTAATTTTGTGATCAAAATTGTCAGTCATGCACTTCAGGTATTTTAGCAAATAGTCAGTTCAAACTGACTTTAGCTTACGTGAATTATAACTTTAATTAGTTCGCATAAGAGAGATCCTCACCTTCTATAATCAAAACTGTGTTTACGCGCTTCAAAAGACTTAGTTCGTGCCATCTTTCGCTCATCAGAATCGAGTAAATGAAGCTGTATTTTACTCGCAAATCATCGGATGTAAAGCTTTTCCCACAGACAGCATTCATGATGTTGACGACAAAGGGAATGTTGCTTTCTATCTCATTCCAAACACTATCAAAGTTAAAATCTTTCAGACTTTCGTAGCTGTGGCCATACAACACAGAGCCATCCGAACATCTGCACAGCTTTTGACAGGCTGTGTTTATTTCCTCGTTGATGAACAATCTTAGCGAAGAAAGCACTGCGGGCAGTGGTCCCTTATAATTTCTGCCACATTAGACGGCGGCTCTGAATTCAATGCTCCAATAATGTAGTTATCGTCTAGTACTGGAAGCTCTTGGTCACAAACTACTTCAGGTAGTGTGTTTGACTCTTCGGCATTGTTAAGCCCACGTGCGGACGAATTTTCCTCTTCCATGGGTTCCTGATGTTTCTTTTTCCTTAAACTGGACTGGTTTTTGTCCGAACATAAGCTGTTTTACGGAGGTTTTTCTGGGGATCTCAGTAGCCGCACGCTTCGAGGGTTGTTTACAAGATGGCGACAATTCCATGCAACGCTTCACTGAACACTTTTGTTCCACTTCAAGTTCACTTTGAATATTCCAACTCTTTTGTTTGAAGTCGCTCACCTTGGAGACAAATGCTTCGCACTTCCTGCAGACCAACTTTGGAAGGCAATCAGCCTCGCTTATAGTAATTCCACAGACAAGATGAATTTTCGCAGGAAGGTTTTTTTCGACGCCGCTTTTGCCTAAGACCCGAAGCATGTGACAGCTTTCGTACGCACCACCGCCAAGCCGACAAACCGAATTTCGTGGGTGTAGCTTTTTGGGAGTCGGCGGCTCCATACAAGAGATTTTTAACACAGAAAACGTATTCGATTTACCAGACTCAATAGCTCACTAACCTATACTAGCCCGCTTAAATTAATGACTTTTTGCATTTTTGCTGGGAATTCCAACTACCAATAACAATGGAGGGTTTAAGAGCAGTTGCATAGCGGTTGCATAAATTAGAGCCCACGAAATATTTATGACGGATCACGTGACCAGCCGATGCCAGGGTCTTTTCCCGCCCCTCCCAAATTCAATGGGAAAAGCCCTGGGAACGAGGTTGAGCGTTGGAACTGACAGGCAATTCCTGTGCAGAAGATTTAGTAGGCTATGATCGCTTCCTAACAGCTTCAGGAGCTTACAAGCACCACAGAGTGCCGATGTTGCTCCCAGGAGACTGGGGACAAGGCAAAAATTGTACCTTGTTCATGTTTAACAATACTCCAGGGGATGCAGATGATAACACGGATCCAGCTAATCAACCGGGTTAGGGTTGGTTAGCTATTTGGACCCATCACACTAGCTGTGAAGTCTTTGACAGTTATGGGTTACCGCTCTCTACCTACAAAAACCCTACCTTACAAGCTTGGTTAAAACAGTGGAAAGACATTATTCGTAGCAATCATCCCTTACAAGCCATGGATAGTTTTACGTGCAGGCATTATGCCCTTTTCTTTTTAAAAGCAAGAGTCAGACATCTGTCTTTTCAAGATTTTTTAGCTCAGTGGCATTCCACGAATTTAGTGTTAAATGATAGGCGAGTCGGTGAACAACTGCAACGTTTAATTAAAACTGAGCTGACTGAGTATCAGCAATCGAATGTAAACCGTTCTTCTTTTGATTATTTTTATCAGTTAGTTTATCAATAAAAATGTGTGTTACTTATGACTGTCATTTCTTTCAATATGTTGACTCGGAGGGCTGTTCAAAACGTGTTGAACGCGTTGTTAGAACAAGAATGCTCTTATTGGAAAGACCACAGACAAGAATGGATCAGACTCTGTCTTGATCCCGCGGTTCTGTGGGATGGGTATCATTGGCAATTTGTGCGATGTTTAGTGCAAGCTAAGTTGTGGTGGGACTTAATAAATCATATAAAAGGAATGCGTGAAACACATTTAAGAGATCAGATACTAATACTCATTAAGTTGAACTCACCGCGGTTGTATCAAAGACTATGGGGCGAACACGAAGACATCGTAGAGTCCTAAAAAAAACGAAAAAGTCAAAAAGGGGGTGCGCGATTTAGACGAAAACCATTCTTGATCGTGACAATACATTGTTTCTTTTTGAGCATCTGTTCATATGACATAGCGCCGGGGTTTCTTTTTTTTTCAAGATGTCCGCTTCCATGTTGGCGATTTTTAAAAAAAGAGCAGCTCCGCGTAAAAGTCACCACTTGCAACATCAAAGCTCTCAGCCAAGTTTAATTGCTTGGCAAGTTTATCTAACCACGCTTCTGTTTACTCGCGATTGTTTAGCCAGTCTGCCAGAGGAAGAATAGGCGAACTGATCCATGTGTGAGTTCCGGTGCTATGGTGAATCGAGATCTTTAGCGAATAATCTTGGACAGGATAGATTTGCTCACGATGAACATAATTCTCTAACCCTTGTCTAAGGGCTTCGGCGACCGCTTCGCCTTGAAGATCACCGTTAGGAGTTCGCAGCTGATTTAATCTAAAATGAACGTGATGTTGCACTGCTACACCGTTTCGAAAACTGCGTGGATCGCCGATTCGCTCCATGTTAATGTCGAACAGCGGGTTACCTCCCTGCTGATGGCTTCGACGAGCAGCGCTTAACAGCTCGGCTTCATCGTCCGAATCCATGAGTTCTTCTCCCTGACTAGCGGTCCATTCTAACTCATCTGCTAACATCTCTTCTAATCTATCCTCCATTAAAGCACGAATGTAAGGATCCATTTTACGTTTTGAAAAGGTAGAAGACCATTTGGAAAAGCTCCGCTCAGTAAGACAGTAAAAACTGAATGACGCTTTAAGAGACGCGACTTAGTTAAATTAGCGTGGAGTACGTGCTTCGTTTTTCATTAAGTCATAATGGACAAAGAACGTTCTAATGATCATTTCAAGGTTGTTCAAGGTTGCCCAAGTTTTCTAACTAATTTTTTGGCTGATTCAGCTACAATTGGTGTAGTCTTGGTGTAGCAAACGTTTTGGCTGACCTCTTTTGTTCTTTTTCTAATTAATTATTTTGACTGATTCAGCGATTTTTTCCCTGAGCATTCATTTGACAATCTCAGTTCATTTTCTAAGAAACCCTGCCCTGCCTGAGCGTTCATTTGACAATCTCAGTTCATTCTTTTTCCCAAAGACACAAGTAAATTACACACAAACTTAACTTTATTTTCATTTTATCTCCCTTCGGTAAAATGTTACAATAAATTTCTTAGTAAGCGCAATGAGAGGAACGTATTTAACCGCTAGTCGGCTAAGTCCTTTTCAAAGCAATTTTTTCTTAATTACAATCTGGAACTTGTCAGAACCCTAATGGAACGGGTCCATTATGAAAAAATTTAATACAAGTCTTCATGGTAATCTCGAAAAAACCAAGGAAATTCTAATTTTAAGTGAGCGTACGTTCGCTCAAAGCGCTCGATCATTGATTCAAAATGTGGACAAAATGGATTGTAAATATGATCTAAATCATCAGTGGTTACATTTAAAACAGTGATACAAAAATCAGTTCTTTCTCGATCAATTTCAAGCCACTCCGTAAACGGATTGTGTGGTAAACGAATATCCTGTAAAGCTTGTCTAATAAAAGAAACCAAAAGGTTGCATTACTCTTTGCTCAAGCGCTTTGCGCCGTTGTAAAACATTTGTACGTCTATATAACTTAAAGATTTTACGTTGCTCCCTTTCAAAATTAACTCTTTCATGTCTATCATATTGCATTTGCCCTTCCACCGTCAATCCTTCCACACAAATTCTTAAACACTGCGAACAGGCTTCTTGGATAAAAGAAAGCCATTGGACTGAACTACAACAATGACGCTTCTTAATTTGTCGCAAACATTTTCTAAAAGAAAAAACAACTTACATCAATTCTAAGCGTCTACGAATAGGAGTATAGTAAAAAAGACGAATTAATCGTGCCTCCTCATTTTTGTCAACAAATTTCTTTAGCCTTTGCAAACGTAATCCGTCTAGTGTTAATCGTGTTGTCCTAATTCTTCTACAATGTGGACACCTTGGGTCTTCTCCGTACTTAGCGTACTTAATCGCGACCCATTCGGTTTTATGACAATAGGTATTCCATCTTCTAAGTTTCAGTTGGGTTAAACATTTTCTAAAAGAAAAACAACTTACATAAATTCTAAGCGTCTACGAGGAGTATAGTAATAAAGACGAATTAATCGTGCCTCCTCATTTTTGTCAACAAATTTCTTTTGCCTTTGCAAAACTACTCCGTCTAGTGTTAATCCCGTTGTCCTAATTCTTTTACAATGCGAACACACTGGTGCCCAAAAATCAACGGGAATCCATTCGGTTTTATGACAGTACAGGGTCCATCTTCTAACTTTCATTTGGTGTAAACAAGCGCGTTTAAAAACACGTTTTTACAGTTCAATCATACAGCATTTGGTCTTCACACTTAACCATGTGCAGTCTCTTATCCAAAACAGTGATTCAACAATCGGTCTAAAAGCACAACATCACTAGGGTAAATTTTTGAGTTTGAAAACCATGCTTCGATAAACAACAATTCTTCGTATACACACCTGAAGTTTACTCGATGTTGTTCTCTATACCGATTTCCGTCCTCAGTATATTGGCGCTCTTGTAATTCTTTTGCAACCGGGTGCAATGGAACAAGGAACGTGTCAGCCATTAATCCCGGATTCGGAACAGCTTCGAACGCCAACTGGTACAAAGTCTTCATTTTCCAAAACAGCAAAGCAGATCGAGATCTTGACACCGTGGTGAGCAGAGTGAAGTGACTTTCGCAAATTCATCCTTCATTTATGCGGCTCATCGAGATTCACGCTCATTGGTGGGGCGAAAACAAATGTTTAGCGGCAAAAACCAATTAACTTTTCGCCGTTTTTTCAAGTTTAAACCTTAGCGGCTAAAAAGGTCGCTTCGCTTTTAAGTTTAACGGTTAGCGGCAAAAACAAATACACTTTTCGCTTTTTTCAAGTTGAACTCTTTTGTTTTGCATTCTGTTAAAACATGGAACAGAAAAATTTTATTTTCAACGATGGCTTCGCCTTTTGAAACAGAGGGCAGTTTCCTAACGCAAGAACAAGCAGACCATATTAACGAGAGGCATGTTTTTAAAAAAGAACATGTTAAGACCTCTAAGTTTGGGTTACAATTTGATTTAGTCGACATGTTAAAGAATGTATCGGAGCTCACATGGGAAGAGAACAGCGAAGATGTGGTTTTATTAGACGAGGGATGGAAAGAATGTCACGGACATTTTTATTTGTTCGTGTTTAAAGTCAACAAGCAAATCGGCGTTGATCCAGGGATTCTATTCTCAATAGGGATTCTATTCTCAATTTCTAAGTAAGAAAAACAGATCCTACTAATCGTCTTTTGCCGAACCCACAAACGGTTCTTTTAAGAGCCACCACATGATTAAAAATTAATATCCAATACTGAGACAGGGCTATATGTGTCTATAGCATGGTTTGGAAAGACTTGTTTATTTTTTCTTTTTCTTTCGTCGGGAACGTGCGTAGCGCAAAGCGCTACGCATTAGTACTGACGCCAGGTAAATTTTAAATACGTTTAAGCTTACGGGTTCGATTCTCTCTTTCTCTCTTTCAGGTCTTTCTTTTTTCTAAGACCTAAGAGCAAAATTATTTAGCTGACTCAGCGAGATTACATGCAGATTTTTGAAGCACGTGTGAATTAGCATACGAAATCACTGAGTGGAACGCGTTAATAAATCTCTCGTTCACATTTTTATAATCCACACACTTTTGAAGATGTCAACGGATAAGGAACTCGGGGAAGCTTGGTTTGGCTGTCAAGCTGAAGTAAAACATCTTAAGGCTGTTGTAAAACTGAAAAAACCTCACATTTTAACACTCAAAGAGTATATTCGAACCCTCAAAAGAAAAGAGATAAAGAGACAACAAAGAGAGAAGAAGAAAGACGCTGAGAAGAAAGAAGTGAAAAAAGAAGAGAAGACTTTGATCTATGATAATATGGTTGGCGACATGAATATCTTACGCGCTAAATGTCAACGATATCTTAAAACACTGTAATAAAGTACTTCTTAACCATGGTATTCAGGTCTTTATTTTTCTTTGAAAGGTTCGTAGCGGCATGGTAGCGAAATGGTGATCGCGTTGGGCTCATAACCCGAAGGTACGAGGATCAAAACCTCGCTACGCGTTCTTTTTCTTTAATAGAGACTCTATGGCCGAATGGATAATGTGCCTGACTACGGATCAGGAGATTCCAGTTTCAAGTCCTGGTAGAGTCGATAAAATTTTTTTTTTTGGAAGCACAGAGTTTCGATCTGCAAAGCGAGCGCTCTACCAATTGAGCTATACCCCGTTCATGTTCAACACACTTTTATTTGAAGTCTACAATCCTCTTGCATATTTTACAAAAACGTTTCAGAACGTTGTTATACAAGATTCACTACGCATGCGTACTGCGCAGGAACAGACATTCTGTCCCACAAGTGCGAGTGGTGACTTTTATCCACATATATAACTCCGAGGTTCTACCCTTAGAATAACAACGACTACCCGAGCGATCTCCGAGCGAATCCACCATTTTGAATTTTTGATTGACGACATTAACTTTGATTGACAGCTAAGAACAATAGCGGCAAAAGGCGGCATCCTTTGTGTGCTAGTCAGGCCCCCAATACTACTGATGCACCTACACGAAAGGCGTTTCTATGAATAAATGTCGTCCGGTAGTAAAATCACGAAATATAGACTAAAGTCAAATAAACCATTATTAAGAAATTAAGTATTCTTTCAAGAGTCAACATTGACGTAAAATGTATATAATTGGAAAGAGAAAGAGCAATTAGTTTTGTTTGTTAAGGAACACTGTTGGCTTTTCTATGATTATAACCTAGCGAACACAAAGCAAATGAAACAAAGGATAATAAAACTGGCACGAGCCCTTTTGGCAGCTATAAACGATCACCCGCACAATTTACACAAATATACACTTACAACAAAGGAATTAAAAAGTGATAACTAAAATCAAGTGTTGCAATAAAACTTAGATTATCCGAACTGAATTAAAATATAACCTACAATTACCAAATCCCTTACTAGAAATTAAGTTGAAAACGCCGTACGCTTAATCTGGAAAAACATTACAAAACAAAAATAGCTATATTCTCCCTAACATTTCTCCCACCTTAAGTTGAGCCGTCCTCGGCGAAAAACACAGAAACTATTAAAAGTCCATAAAGAAAAGTTCATAAGTAAAAGTTCAACTACCATAGTTCAGTGGACAGGGCCGGTAGGTCAGCCAAGGTGGTGGTCGTGCATCCGTTCGAGATAGGCGGCGATCTTTTTCAACGTGGTTAACACCCGCTCACCGGGAATCAGGAGTCGTGCGGGCGGACATGAAATGTCTTCCAGGTTCCGTACAAGGATCAATACGGGCAGGGGCTCCAGGGAAGCCGCGAGTTCCAGAAAAAAGGAATGCTGTTGGTACCCTTTCAGCCAAAGGGTTAAGGCCCCGGGGACTGGTCGTCCTTGTTCGACTTCGTCCAGGAGCATGTCCTGAACGAAAGCCAGTAATGCGGTACTTACTGCAAACTAGGGAAGGCCAGTGGAGTTCAGTTGCCAGCCATGAAGGCGGGACTGGTGCCGGTAAGTGACAATTGCCCGTGGAGATTGTAATAGGAGTGCTGTGGAATCAAACCGGGGGAGGTTGATAGTCTGATGCCGGACAGAACCGAAGACAAGCACTTTGGTGAAGAACTCCTCGTCGCCGTGCTGGAAACCGTCCACAAGGACTACAGCAGAAATGTAGGCCATGATCCGGTGAGTTTTTGTGAAAAGGCTGAACCTTGCTTAGTCGAATGGAGTACTTACGGTGTAAGCGAAAATTGGAAACTGGTCGAATTGAAAAAGAGGCCGGTATTTATGGGCTCAGTGACACCCAAAAGCAAATTTTACAGCGTGCGGAAAAGTAAATAACATTGGGGAATGAAAACGGAATATGAGCAGCTGGGTCCAAATGGAGAACAAAGAAAAACACGGTCAGGGAATGCAAAAAGAAATTGCAAACTGGTAGAATAACAACTCTAAACTGCACAAAATGAACTGCAAGGGGCCGGAGAAAACTTATAGGGTTAGACCGGAACGAATGAGAAATTAGTACCGGAAAAATCGAAGGAGGAAGGAAAAATGGCCAAAAACAAAACCCACGAGGGTCACACAAGGACAAAGAACTGAAAAACTGGTGAATAGAAAAACTAAACAAAGCGAGAGCGTATGGAAACAAAAGGGTGAAGGGTGTCCGAAAGTGTTACTATCATTAGGCGAAAAGTAAACCAGGAAGAGCGAAACGTGGCGGGTTGAAAATAAGTTACCTCAGCAACGAGAAAATAGACGATGTGGTCCACGGACACCTAAGCATACAGAACACCACATAAATAGAATACAAGAGATAGCAAATAAAACGGATAAAAGTTGTCGCTGATGGTGGTGTTATAGACTGGTCTGGAATGTGTGTTATGTGGGTTGTAAAGGTGTTGTTGCTGGGCGAAAGGTTCGGGAACAATACAAGACAATAAGAGGGGCTCGTGCGAAAAAATATAGACAGAGAAACACGCGACAAGGCTGAAAAACTCCACATGAAAAGGACAAAAAGGAACGAAAACGGAATTATTCTTGGTCAGTTAAACAGAGGTCGCGGCGGAAGTTGTCCGGGGAACGGAAACTCGTTTTGAGAGCACACAATAAAAGACAAGCACAATAATTAAATCAGAAACTGCGAGAGCGAGAGAAAAGTAAACTAAAGTGTCAGATATTCCGCTATCTGGAACCTCCTTAACAGATGCAATATCCGAATTAAGTTTAGTGAGGTGTCGAGTAAAATCCTGAACGAGGGAATTGTAAACCTTATTCAAGGAAACAAGGACAGGAAGGAGAAACAAGAAATGCATTTGTAACTTACGTTGCGATGGAAATTTAGTGTCTACGAGCGGGTTTAAAATAACAGAGAAACCGTTTTTTAGTGCATCGATAGCGGGTGCGAGAGTGTCTACCGAGGAAAGTTTCAAACTTATTTCTTCGGTTAAAAAACGTGGAAGGTCTGCGTAGCCGATAAGATTTCGTTTGGTTAAATGAGCAATTTGTCTTAACAAATCAACTTCAGTTAAGCGTAACAAAGAAGTTAATGTTTTGTTTACCTCCATCGCAAATAAGGACGTGAACTCCTGTTGCATATTACAATGGCAGGTTACTTTGGAGGCAAACGAACTAACTTGTTTCTGCAAAACGGAAAATGCTCTAGAGATGAGTCGTAAGGAAGCGATAACTTGAGTTACTTTAGAATTGACTAAGTCGGTAGTTTTAACAAGATATACAATCTTGCCATTGAGATTTTTCATGAAATTATGCGCCTCGGACATTGTTTTAGAAAATTCAAAGAGGAATTAGATTACTATAACTGGAAGATTCACATTTTCCTCCTCTGAGCATGTAAAAGAAACGCGGGACCCCGCCCAATCCAGCGTGGCACCAATAACTAGACCGTTTATTGCGTTCCTTTAGCCAGGCGCGTTCACCAGGAGTAAGAATTTTACAGGCGCGAATCGCCCAGCTCTCACAAGCATGTAACGAATTAGCATAATGACGAGTAGGACAATTCAATGTTGACATAAAGCCCGAAACATACGTGTAGAATCGCCGCAAATAGCTATCACATTCAAATAAATCAGTAACACCATGGATTGACGATAAACGAGTAACCGTGCGCTGAATCCCGCGAAGAGAGTCAAGAACATGGGTGTAAAATTTGCTTAAAACGGGGTCACAAGTCGAATTTAGGTCGGGAAATTTAATTCGCGAAGCAAGGTTCAGGTCCATATGCAAACTCACAAGCGTAGTGTCTTGATATAGGATTAATGCTTTAGGATCTTAGCCAACATCATAGCTTTAGGAAAGAATCCAATTTCACGACCGGTAGCGTCGAAGCCGGTTGCAGCGACTGCGACATGTTGCCCGTAAACAGTTAAGTAAAAGCAGAGCAGCATAATTACATATGAATGCAATCCAGGGAATTGGTGCTTGTTACCTTGGTAGCATGGCAGAGTAAGCGGTGGGGCTGTGGTAACTGCAGTCAGCGGTAAGGTACTGAGAGGGACTGGATTCGATGTGGGAGAGGTGGAAAGGCTCTGGGTCCCAATATCACACTGCACCGGAAGGGGGCTGGGGTGTAGTTGGGTCGGGTCCAGGCTTTTGGGCGGGAGTAGTGGACAATTGGGAAAGCTGTACATGACGCAAATTGTTAGCTAACAGCGGTTTTCTTTAGGCGGGTAACCAGAAGAAGGGCGTCGTAATAATAATAATAATAATAATAATAATAATTAAAAATTTATAACGCGCCTTTTCCATGCAAATATGATCAAAAGCGCGTGACAACACGTAAATGTTAAAAGAAAATAAAAGCCAAAATGAGCAAATAATTAAGGCTAAGAATAAACAACGCTAAAAATTAAATAAAGATAAAAAACACTAAATATATTACATAGTAGGTTAAAAAACATTACATATCAAAAGCTAGTCTAAAAAGATGCGTTTTAAGTAAAGATTTAAAATGTTCAAAATTGTCCTCAAGACGGATGTGAAGGGGCAGATTGTTCCATAAATTAGGGGCAGCAGATGAAAAAGCACGATTCCCTAAAGTCTTTTTCAGTTTTAAACTAGGATAGATAAGACCGCTACAACCAGTTGCAAAAATGTTAAGACACTCTCACGAAAAAACAACCTGTCTTGCTTCACATCACTGCTAGTCACAGGTCTGTGAGATAAAATAGTGACCCCCCTCCTCCCCCCAATTCAAAGTTGTTCCTCCAAGTTTTGAGCATGGTCTTGTATTCCAAGCAACTTTGAAAAGGGGTGGAGGGGGGTCACAAGCACAAGATCATGGACAGGCCATTTAAGCCAAAATATGGTACAGTGTCTCAAGTACTTTTGCAACTGGTTGTCTCATTTACGTTTTACTTCAAAAAGCTATTTCCACGTCTCAGCTTCCCAAAGAGAAGTCTATAGCGAGATAAATGACTAGAATGGCACTTTCTGTTGCTTTTCCCAGCTGACACATCATTGTCATTGATAGCAAAACTGCATAAAAAAGCGCTTAAGAATGTAGTGACTTTAAAATTTTGCCTCAATTTTGTTGTAACGCATGTGCTATTAATTATATACCGTGACATGGCTGTTCCGGCGTGGTGATTAAACTCTGAGAAGTGTGAATGCATATTAACAGCATACGTTTCCTTTTCCTGGTAATTAGAGATATTACAGTTGCGAATAAAGCTGCCAAACTTCCATTTTCACCCCTGTATCTGTAACGCAATGACATTTGATATGCAGTGGTGTTATGTAATCGGTATACCGCGTGAGTTATTTTTCAACACCGCTGTAAAAGTAAAACCGTTCAGTTTTTTTCATCTACTACAGTGAAAATAACATAGTTATTAACGTCCGTTAGAGCTAGAGAGCAGAAAAAGTTGTGCTTAGTTAGTTTCTATTTTCTGACGATCTACCATCAATCACGGTCTACCATTCTGCAACAGTAAGAAATATGATATATCATTATATTTATCTGATATGATGGTAGACCGTTGACGCACGTAAATTCCTGACATTGCTATGGTGGAAAATTACTATTCTTGGGGACAGTGACTTCTTTTTTGCAAAGAAATACATTTTGTTACCAAGTATAGAATACAAGGCCACGTTATATGCGAGCTCTCGGGGCTATGTTACTGAAATACGCGCGTGAATTTTCACGTTATCTGATCACTAGTCACACTCGGGCTTCAAAATCGAAACCAAGTTGTAAGACAACCAAAACGTAAACATAAATCCAAACTTGTGTTAAGTAAACTAAAGTCCACAACAGCTACTTTTTAGCGTAACTTTTCCTTCCTGTAAATGGCAGGCGATAAAAGAGGAACCATTTCCACGTACTTATCAGAATCAACAACAAAAAGCCATCTCCTTGATCTAGCGGGGCATCTTAGGTCACTTTCCTTTCATTAATAAACGTCTTTTACCCGAGTTCGAAGAAAGTATATTATTTTTCGTATTTTTGTAGCGTGTTAGGACAAAAACCCTTTTCGTTGCAGCTTACTCGAGATGGTGTGGCATCTTTTGCCACGCGCTCCTTTTAAAAGCCCAGTTTCGAGCAAATTACCACAAAAACAAAAGTGGAAAAAACTGCCGTTTTTGTCTCGCCATTTTAAAAAACGCAACCTAGGGAAATGAGATGCTATTTTTTATAACCACCTCCTTAGGTGCAAAAAGTGCACCACGTTTCACCCTGTTTATTAATCGGGCACCACGGCTATAGAGGTATGAAGGACTCATGCAACCAGTTGCAAAAATGTTAAGACACTCTCACGAAAAAACAACCTGTCTTGCTTCAAATCACTGCTAGTCACAGGTCTGTGAGATAAAATAGTGACCCCCCTCCTCCCCCCAATTCAAAGTTGTTCCTCCAAGTTTTGAGCATGGTCTTGTATTCCTAGCAACTTTGAAAAGGAGTGGAGGGGGGTCACAAGCACAAGATCATGGACAGGCCATTTAAGCCAAAATATGGTACAGTGTCTCAAGTACTTTTGCAACTGGTTGTAGCTGAACGGAGATTATAGCGCGGCTGTTCTTTCATAGCAATCAAATCGATCAAGTAACCAGGCGCATGATCGTAGATAGCCTTAAAAGTAAAAAGAAGTATTTTAAAATCAATACGAAATTTGACAGGAAGCCAATGTAAGGAACATAGTACTGGTGTTATGTGACTGTAGCGAGGGACATTAGATATAAGCCGAGCAGCTGCATTCTGCAAGCGTTGCAGTTTAAGTAGATGAACAGAGGGTAAACCAAACAGAAGGCTGTTGCAGTAATCTATACGACCAATGATAAAAGCATGGACCAAAGTTTGTGCAGACTCCTGGGACAGATATTTTCGGATACGCCGAATATTGTATAAATGGAAAAACCCAGATTTACAAGTTTTGTGGATCTGTTCCTGGAGATTCAAGTTAGAATCGAACCATGTCCCTAAATTTCTTGCCACAGTGACAGGAGCAACGTCAATGCTTCCTACGGTAAGGCAATCAATATTTACTTTGGAAAGTTGTTGTTTTGTACCAATCAACATGAACTCAGTTTTGTCATCATTAAGTTTGAGCTTATCCGTAAGCATCCACGTACGAATGTCCGATATACAGCGTTCCTTGGCAATGACCGCATCAGTCTGCTTAGTAGCCGTGTCAGGGCTAAACGACAGGTAAAGCTGAGTTTCATCAGCATAGGCATGTGCTTCAGGTAGATGGTATTTGATGACTTCAAACAGTTTGCTGGAATAAATGGTAAACAACAATGGCCCCGATCCTTGTGGAACGCCATAAGGAAACTTAAAACTGTCAGATGTAAAGCCATTTAGCGAGACTCGTTGCGACCTGTTGTTAAGATAAGACGTAAACCAATTAAGGGTGGTGCCATTAATGCCGATACGTGACTTAAGACGACCAAGCAGGATATTGTGGTCAACAGTGTCAAACGCTGCGCTCAAATCTAGGAGAACTAGAAGAGTTACATGCTTGCGATTCATATTCATGAGAATGTCATTTTGTACCTTCAGTAGCGCTGTTTCTGTGCTGTGACCCTTTCGGTAAGCGGATTGCGAGGTTGGATAAAGGGCGAATCGACTCATATGACTGTGAATTTGGTCGAAAACGGCGCGCTCTGTCAATTTTGATGTAAAGTCCAAGTTACTGACAGGGCGAAGGTTATTCAACTGCGTCGGGTCTAAGCCAGGTTTCTTAAGTATCGGAGTAACCAGCGCTTCTTTCCATTCCTCAGAGAAATGGCCGCATGATAGCGAAAGATTTATAATTCGTGAAATAACAGGCAACAGCACGTCAAGGCAGCCAACAACCAGAGAAGTTGGCATCGGGTCCACCGGGCAGGACTTCTTAGCAGACTTGCGGATGAGCGCAGAGACGTCGTTTTCCCAGAGTGGTTGAAAGGAATGAAAAGCATGCGCAGCATCTACTTCCTGATCAGGAGGTAGCGCATTGCGCGCGCTTGGATTGATGTCTACGCCATCAATATCAAAACGAATTCTATCTATCTTTCGAACGAAAAAGCCGCCGATGTCATTGGCTAGTTTCGATTTGTCCTGATAATTAGGAAACGAAATCTCCTCTTTCTTAGCAAGGAGTTGTTTGGTAGCTCTGAATAATCTTTTATGGTCTGTGCTATTCTCATCAATAAAGTTAGTGTAAAATGCCTGCCTGGCCTGGTTCATGAGGTACGTCACGCGGTTTCTGTAAGACTTGAAAATATTCAAGTCAGACACAGATCTCGTTCTCCTCCAGGTTCTCTCAGCCTGAGTGACCATCGATGACAGACTTGATTGGAGTGGCCATATCGAGAAAGTAACAAAGAAAGTCGCTTCTGGTATTGGGGCCATAAAACGAATAAGGCACCTTGTCCCTCAGGCGACCTTACAACTAATATATCAATATATTATTGCAACATTGTTTGGGGAAACTGTGGGATAACCTTACGGAATAAGGTTCAAAAGCTACAAAACAGAGCAGCCCGTGTTTTGACCTACTCAAGGTATGACGTAGATGCTGGTCACCTTTTCAAACTTCTAGGGTGGAAAAACCTAGCTTGCCAGCAACAATTTCAAAGAGCTGCGATGGTTTACAGGTCTCTGCACGGGTTGGCTCCAAACTATCTTAGTTCTAAATTTGAAAGGCGAGAAGTCGCATATAACCTAAGGGACTCTGAAAATAAACTCAATGTTCCATTACCGCGCACAAACTATTACAAAAACAGCTTCAGCTATAGTGGCGCCATTCTCTGGAACAGTCTTCCTTGAAACTTAAGGGAAGCAGAGTCCCTTGGGCAATTTAAACGACTACTCAAAGAACTGTAAGGCACGGCATTCGTGGAAAGCAGCTTTTTTATTTAAATATTTTTATTATATTAGTATTAGGCATTTTTAAAGCTGACGAATTTTGTACCGTGGATAAATAAAGATTATCTATCTATCTATCTATCCTTACGTCTCAAGCGTTTAGCAGCCTTTTTCTCGTCGTTGTACCAAGGCACTGCAGGTCTAACTTTCACAGTCTTAGTCTTGAGTGGGGCGTGACAATCAATTACTTTGGAAAGTGTAGTGTTGTATCTGCGTACAAGAGCATCCAGGTCACGTGGATCTTCTGAGTGAAGATGCACTTGCAGATCCGGTGGATCACTACATAACAAGGAGTCAGATAAGTCCCGCTTAAGAGATTCAAGATCGACGGATTTCAGCTTTCTGTAGACAACGTTCATAGTAGTCATGCAAGGTCTGTCGGGCTGAAGTGTAAAATAAACAGATGCGTGGTCAGAGATAAAGCGATCAACTACAGGGACCTTATTTAAGATATCATCTCTGGAACGGGTGATAACGAGATCAAGTGTGTGACCCTGAATTTGCGTAGGCTCAGTGATTTGTTGCTGGAGGCCAACAGACTGTAAAAGATCAAGTAGTTTGACTGAGTCAGGATCATGGGGGACATCGACGTGGATATTAAAGTCACCAGCAATCACAAGATGCTCTTTGGAGAGAAGTATGGATTCTAGGTAGGTAGAGAACTCCGTGAAGAAATCATTAGTTGAGACTCTGTGATCAGCTGAATAAGGTGGACGATAAAGAAGGACAAGCCGAAGATTGAGCGAAGGTGATGAGATTGTCCGTTCGGAGTATTCAAAGGTATATCAAGGCCACTCCGCCACCACGACGACCAGTGCGTGGGCGATCAGAAATTTTGTATTCGACCGGGCACAATTCAGCTCGCACAACCGCGTCGTCAGTAGTCTGCCAAGTCTCAGTGATCGCAACAAGGTCAGCCTTAGAGTCGCATATATAATCAAAAAGGTCAGCGGTCTTATTTTTAACAGAACGAGCATTTAGCAAGCACAGCGACAAGTGTTTGTCACAACACGTGCTATCAATCTCTAATGTCAGGAAAGCGACGACAGAGGACGCCTCGGTACAGGGAGAAGAGGACATGGCAGCGACAGGAGGATTGTAGTGTGGGTCCGGATCGAGAACACGTTTAGCACCAGGATTTCGTTTGAGATAATCCTTTAGTAGGCGATCATCAAGTAAATGCTCACGTGGCTCCCATGTGTTCTGGTCGTGGGGAAATCCCGACCATTTTAGGAGAAACTGTGGTTTTCCGTTGCGTATGCGATGTCGCATGATGCGTTAACCTTGGTTAACAGTAGAGCAGTCAACAGCAAGGTCCGTAGGAGCGCCATCGGAATCGGCCAGTAGTCGAGAGGCTGAAGCCAAAGACACCGCGGGCTCTGAAGCGACTGGAGTAGGTGTGGAACTAAAGCCTGACAGTGTAGGCGCTAAGGAGGAAGGAGGACGGACCGGACTAGCAGCAGAAACCGGGAGAACATTTGTAGCCGGACTAGGTGCTGTATCTACGTCATCGCTGTCCGGGAGGGCCTGGTGACGAGAGAGATCGAGGTTCAAATCCTCTGAGATGAAACTATCCGTAGGCAAATCGCTATCAGCCAAAAAGGGTTCATCTACTTGAAAAAGCGGCTCCCGACTGGGACGATCAGCAGGGTCGATGTATCTCGTGAGCTTAGGTACGTGAACTGTTGTGGAAACGTGGCGGTTATCGGTGGCCCTTAAAATGCAATGCACAGGAGAGAGAGATTCTACCATCCGGTACGGACCATGATAATTGTGGGCCAACTTTTTCGAGACGCCTTTGGGGTTCTTGGGACAGAACACCCCCACACGATCCCCCAACTGGAACTGTGTAGGTTCTGCATAGCGATCGTGAAGATCCTTCATTCTCTGTTGTGCTCTTTGGATATTTTGGGCGGAGATTCGGCGAGCTATTTCGATGTGTTCTACCACTCGTTCTCTGTGTTCCGCTACAGAAGCTGACATTTCTCTCGGTGGCGACAAAGAGCAATCTTGTGGGAAAACTGGGTCTCTGCCGTACATCATAAAAAATGGGGATTCACCAATGGCGTCGTTTGGACTTGTGCGAAAGGCAAACAGGATGGCGTTTAAATATGTATCCCAGTTCTTCTAGTTCCTGTCGACATAGTGCGAAATGCACTGAGCCATAGTACCATTGAAACGTTCTACCAAGCCATCGCACTGAGGATGATAGCTGCTGGTGAAAACTTTCTCCGTGTTCATCAGGAAACAAACTTCACGTATCAGACTGGAAAGGTAATTAGATCCTCTGTCCAAGAGTAGCTTTCGCGGTGCACCATGACGTCCCATTATGTCATCAACCAGGAGCCTGGCGATAGTTTTGGCCTCAATATTAGGGACTGCAAAGGCTTCAACCCACCGTGTGCAGTAGTCTGTGAAGACAACCACATAACGGTTTCCAGAATTAGATTCTGGGAAGGGTCCACAGCAATCTGTAGCAACTAGTTCCCAGGGGCCCGATACGGGGATGGGCAGCACAGGTGCAGCCCTCCTCTGTTTGGGACTTTTCTTCATGGCACAGGACTCGCAGCTGAGAACATAATGTTGCACATCAGCGAACATACGAGGCCAGAAATACTTGTCACGGAGCTTAGCGTAAGTTTTGTGAACTCCAAAATGAGCAGCAAATGGGCTATCATGTGCTTGCAACAACACTTCATGACGTAGGGCTGTAGGGATCACCAACTGCGACCTGGGGGTCGGATTTCGTCGACTTCCAGGAATAAAAATGTGGCACAGGAGGCCATCAGGATCCAAATAGTACTATTCAATGGTGTGAAGGAGGGTCTTGGCTGTCTTGTTTGATGTTGGTAATACCTCTTACTCAAGATAATCAATAGTGTCGGCAAGAGCGGGGTCTTGTCGTTGCAGGTAATGAACTCGGTCTACTTGAACCCCAGGGTTGTCAATGGCTGCAACAATAGTGTCACAACTGCGACGGAATAAAGCATCTGCGTTGCCATTGCTAACACCGGCGCGGTGAATGATTTCGAAATCATATTGCTGAAGAAGAAGGGCCCACCTTGCAAGTCTTCCGAAAGGCATTTTCAGGGACGTCAGCAAGCGGACAGCACTGTGATCAGTGAGAACTTTGAAATGAGCGCCATATAGATAATGCTGGTAATGTTTAATTCCTGCAACTACAGCCAAGGCTTCTCGTTCGGTGACGCTGTAATTCTTCTCTGCAGGTAAAAGCTTCCGGCCGCCATAAGCGATGACCACTTCACGACCATTCTGAACTTGTCCTAGAACGTACCCAAGACCATCATCACCCGCATCTGTGGCTAGGGTGAATTCAAGGGTAAAATCTGGATAGGCCAGGATAGGTGCCTGGGTGAGAGCTTCTTTTAGGGTCTCAAAGGCTGACTGGCAGGCATCACTCCACTGGAACTTAAGGCCCTTCTTGGAACTTAAGGCTCTATCTTAGCAAAATCTTTAACAAACTTCCGATAAAAGTTAGCTAGCCCCAAAAATGCGCGAACATCTTTTACTGAGCGGGGGACTGGATACTCCTTAATAGGACTGATTTTATCGGGATCGGGGAGTACTCCATCTTTAGAGATAAAGTGACTACGGAACTTGACCTTTTTCTGTCCAAAATGACATTTACTGGGCTTGAGCTTAAGTCCAGCTTCTCGAAAACGATCAAAAACTAATCGCAAGTGCTCGAGGTCTGCGTCAAAGGTTCTGGAGTAGACCAAGACATCGTCAAGATAAATCAAAGCGATTTCCCACGTTAGTCCTCGCAAAACGCATTCCATAAGTCTTTGGAAGCAGGTGGGTGCGAACGCCATAACTTTAAACTCGTAGAGCCCGGCATGAGATATAAATGCTGTCTTCCCGGTCGAAGAAGGATCCATGGAGATTTGCCAGTAACCACTGCGAAAATCAAGAGAACTCATAAACTGGGCACCATTGAGCACGTCCAACGTTTCGGTTATGCGAGGAAGACGATAGGAATCCTTCTTGGTAACACTGTTAACTTTGCGAAAGTCAACACAGAACCGGTCACTCCCGTCAGGTTTGCGTACCAGTACTACAGGGCTGCTCCAAGGGGATGTAGAAGGCTGAATGATATCTTGCTCAAGCATTTCATCAATGCATTGTTCAATTCGTCGTTTTTGTGCTTCAGGGACGCGATACGCTCTTTGCCTGATGGGTGGGTGATCACCGGTGTTGATATGGTGCTGGACGAGGTTAGTTCTTCCGAGCTCTTGTGGAGATAGAGCAAAAACATCACGGTACTCATTAATTAGGCGCTGCAGTTCTGTCTTTTGACTGTCGGTCAGGTCGGCATTAGCAAGATCAACAGGAACATCCGGGACTTCCGCCTGTGGTTCTTTGGTAGGCTCGGTCTTGGTAGACAAACTGAACACCTGGAGGCTCTCATCGGTCTGGGAAAATGTTTCAAGAGTAGCACCGCGATATAGGGTCACGGGCTTGCGGGTAGGGTTAATAAGTCGGAAAGGAACTGTATGGTCAGCGGATACAGTAACCAATGAAGCGGCACCCTGAAGCTGGTATCGTTCGATCAAGCGTGGGGAGGCTTCAACAAATCCAACATCTCTAGGTGTATAGGTCTGGTCTAAGTAAGCTGGTATAACAGCTTCTGAACTGGCTGGAATGACACAATTGTACAGCACGCGGACAGGACACGCCCCTTCACTAAGAGGCCTGGCAATACTTTCCTCTAATTGCAAAGTACTGTCTTTTAAATTAATAACAGCTCCATTTGCTCTCAGGAAATCCCGTCCTAGTAGAGCATCATAGGTGAGATCACGAACAACTAGGAAGGTGCAGGAGTAGAGTCCATTTGCAATCTCCAGCGTGGTTGTGAATCTCCCACTAACAGGTAAAGGTGCGCCACTTACAGTTTTTACATCTCCAGAGCTGTGCTTCTGCAGTGGAGGTAAATGTCCCTGATAGATTTCTTTCAGGAAGTTTTCGTCAATTACACTAACGGCAGCTCCGGTATCTACTAAGGCTTTGATGCGCTGTCGGTTTAATATTGCACTCACAGTGAGGTCTCTTGGTTTGCTCTGTGGTCTACGTTCTGCAAATTCCTCGTTGTCTCGAGCTGGAAAAGCAGGTACAAAGGAGACTGGGACTGGACAAACAGTATTTGTTGTCCTAAGCACATGCTAAAATAGTGAACACAAAATAAATAAAGATTCAAATAGAAAATAAAATGTTCGAAAAATGTGTGTCTACATTGTTCTTTCCAAAAAAGGAGGCAAATGTTTTTGAAGTTACAATTTAAGCACAAAAATAAACTAAAATCAGGTTTTTAGTTGCAACACGGTTTAAATTCGCGTTTAAATCGCAATTCGTTCACGATAAAAGAGTAAGATCGATTTTGTAGCCTGCCCCAAAAATACAAAATGGTGCGCGACAGGAGAGTTCAAGGGGCAGGTTATAATTTGGATTATCAAAGTGAAAGCTACCGTTCTATGCTTCCTATCATGCATTTCTATGACGCCTAATAGTCAAAGAATAAGATTAGACATGTTTCGGCTGTTCCCCTTAAGTGAGCCATAATCCTTAATTTTCGGGTCTCAGCTGATGGACTAAAAGATTGCCTTACCTCATCTGGAGGTCTGTGACTTTCCACTGCATAAACCAACGCCTTTTTTAATCTTGTGAAGGCTGATTTGGCCGTGCGTCTATCTGTCTTGGATTGCTTTAATGCGGCTTCGTCCATATGCTTTTCCTGTCGACCAGTGTTTTAGTAATCACAGGAGTTTCTTTTTCTGGCGGCTCGCAGAAATCGAATAAACTGTTCCGCGTAGAAAGTACTGCCGATGAACGGATCCACCACAAATCGTATAATTTGATTGTCAAAGGGACAATACAAAATCGTTTTGTAACTATATATAACTAAATTCTCATACAATGATTTGATTCCAAAGTAGCGGAAAAATATAATTTGACAAACAAATTCCGAAATCTGCATGTCAAGCAGTCCCATTCTCCCATTTCTCCTCTCCATAAACTATAGGAAGAATGGGTACAAACTTTCGGCGCAACGATTTGTGGGATTGTTTGGATGGCCAAGGGTTACTTGTGATTGGTTAATGGTTGCCTTGAAAACCATCGACCAATCATAAATAACACTTCTCTACTCAAACGGCACCCGGAATATTGGCGTCAAAATCTTGTACCCATTCCCCTCGTAGTTTCTGGAGAGGGGAATTGCCCGCCTCATGCAAAACGGGAATTCGAGAGACAAAAATCTGGCTTGTCTCTCTTCTTTGTAGCCTAAGAAACCAAACGTATTTCCGGTTGTCGTTCCTCTTGAAAAGAGACTATCTGAAATTTGCTTAGGAATAAAATTCTTTTTTTTTTTTTCCCATTTGACCGTTTCATGGTCCCTTCCTGTTGCAAGGATTATTTTCTTGAAAAGTTCTCAGATTCAGTCTGGTGGCTTTACAAACCTGCTATGTAAAAGTGTGAAGTGTCTTGAAAGAATAAAGTCAGAGAGGAAGGATTATTATTAAGTCCAGTCTCTACTGTCGGTTCGGTTTCTTGTAGATAAATATTTGCAAAATCATTTAAACCCTCCTTTCAAATTTTCCGAGGCTTTTGTTATCGGATTGAAAAGACCCTGTTTACATGGAGTGTCTAGTGGGGTGTTTCTTTTGTTTTGTGTCCCAAAGAGCGTGAAACAAAAGAAACCAACCCCACTAGACCGTCCCCTTTGCAGAATGATTCGATCTGAAATGTTTCCAAGGACATGCGATGTAAGGCACGTCGGTATTTAATTTTATATTGAACTCGCCAGGTTTCAAAAAATGGCGTTGTTTTCTTTTCCTTTGTCGTTCGCTTTTTAGGCTTGTAATTCGTTTTGTTCTCATTTTTTTGTTTGTTGGTTAGATTTTTCCCCAACACCAGATTTCCCAACAGAAGCGACTGCATTCTTCGTGTCAAGCTTTCTTTATCTCCAA